CTGGTGCAGCAAGGGGGCAGGATGCACTATTGGGCATGGGAAGTCCAGCAGCTGTGACAGGACAGTCTATTGCAGGGGTGAGCAACAGTATAAGTGGGGCCACTTAATGAATGCTGGTTTATGGTCATGGGCTGGCTCCACCCCCTGGAAGGGGTGGGACCCAGGGCAGAAAGGGAGGGGCAGGGGAGTAGCTTCCCTCCGCTACCCCTTTGTCTGGCAGCTGCCCGGGGTTGCTGCGGCAATTTAAAGTGCTCGCAGCTCCAGCCCCTTCTAAGATAGTGGTGTGGCCAGAAGCCATTTATATAGGATCTGGCTGCATGAGCCACTGCCTAGAAATTCAGCAGCACGGGCAGCAGGCTATAAGTAGAAAACAGTCGGACGTAGTCCACAGGCCAGATCGGTGTTGGTGGGTCAGATCTGGCCCCTGGGCCGCATCTTGCCCAGCTCTGGTCTACTGCCTACAGGCATCAGCCTGGCAGGAAGGATCAAAGGCTCTGTTATTGGAAACACATCCAGCCAGCCCTCTAAGCATCCATCATGCCCAGTCTTATTCCTCACCACACCCCCTTTTCTTTCACTTCAGGCCCATCCCACCAGCCTAGACCTGCCTTTTCACACATCTATCTCCTGCCTACCTGCATACTTCTCCCCACAGCAATTCACTTTACATACAGTCCCTCTCCCCCATTCCTCTCTAGCCCCCTGCTCCCTCGTGTCCCTGAAGCAATTTAGCTACGGCCTTACCACCCTGAAGGCCCCTGCACAGTGTGCCTGGCTCTGCCCCATCATCCCCATTACAGCATGTGCTGTGGATGTTCCCTGCAGTGTTTCTGCATGGCTCAAAGCCATGCAGCCCGGATGCAGCTGGGAGCAATCTTCCCCCCTCCTTCTCCCCCCAGCTGTTGCCAATGAGGCAATGGGTCACCTCTGCCTGATTTCCAGTGAGAGTCAGGCAAAATAAAAACCCGCCCTCCCATTTATTAATCAGGCTCCTGGTTGTCAATCCGAGCAGAAAGGCCAACAATTGGCTAAGGCACAGAGGACAAACAGCCCTTTTAAAAAATAAGACAGCAACAGATTCAGCACCCACCCCACAACTCTGGTTCCTACTGGACAAACCCACCTTGTTTTCCATATGGCTCCTCCTAAAAGAAGATCAAATTATTGAGGCAAAGGTCAGGACAGACACCAGAAGCAGCTCCCTGCTCCCACCAGCTCCACAAACAAGTGGGCATGTGCAAATTAAGATATAGAGCCTCCCTCACCCTCTTAGCTAATACCCATTGATGGACTTCTCCTCCATGACTGTCTCTAAGGGGTTTTTTATACCCCTGTGGGTTTTGGCCTTCACGACACCCTTTGCCAACAAGTTCACAGGCCACTGTGCCTTGTGTTCAAGTTCTGTTTGTTTCTATTACACCAGCTGCCTACTGATTGCATTTGGTGACCTCCTGGCTCATGAGTTATATGAAGGGGAGTAAATAACACTTTGCTTTGATCTCAAGCTACTCTCCTTCCCAGCATGACCCGAGTGGGTGTACCCATCGTACCGTGTGTTTCAACATTCCATGGCTGGGGACACCAGCAGAATTTAGACTCATCCTGCGATTGCTCCAGGGGTTGGCAGAATAGGAAGGTGGTTGAAAGCCAGCTCTGTTCCCCTGGAACTGGGTTAAACCCGTGGGCCATTCCTTCCAATCCAGGGTCATGTTGAAATGTTAATGGCGGTGTGAGCGAGTCGTTTGACTCTTGCCATTGTAACGGAGACAGGCGTTGTGCTAACGTGAGATGACACTGATCAAACAGACCCCCCACCCCCCAGCCTTGACCTGACAAACCAACTGTCATTTTGCCAAAGGAGACAAAATTATAAATAAGCCAACGTCCTGCTGGGAATCAATGAGACACTTAGACATTTTTTTTCTGTCAGAATTAAAGCAACGCACTGCAGGCTGTTTGTGTGGCTTTTAAGGTAGGATGGTTTCCAACACGGTCGTGCCTCTTTAACACATTCTCTTTTCTAATCAGCCCCAAGACTCATTCAGTTGCTCCCGCCCACAGCAGAGTAGCTTGTCACTGGTTGGCCTGGGGCACCCCTGGATATGAGGAGTACGGTCTGTGGCTACTTAGAGAAGTGATTCAGTGAATCACCTTCCTCCCTTGCAGATGTGCAAGCTTGCTCTGCGGGCCCCGTGGCTGGCCAGAGGCACCAATCGCAACGGCTGGGCTCGCGTGGCAGTTCATTCACACCAGTGAGGATGGGACGGCTTTCTGTAAATGACCATGGCACCCGTGCCGTCTCACTTTCACGTCCTTCTCGGTGAATCACCTTGGAAACCAAGCAGCCAGGAAGGCACAGTCACCAAACCTCTCTGGAGCTGAGAGCGGAGGGTCAGGACACCAGAAGATCCGCCTTCCCAAACTGCCAGCCTGACCCCACCCACACTCCGCCCCCAGAATACTCCCTGCTTCAGCGTGGCTCCCGGGCTGTCTCCAGGTTTCAGCCACCTTGAGGATGATGGAGCGGTGCGCCCTGTCTGTGCTCCAGAGCCGGGGAGACTCCCAGAAGAGGAGTGGGGGGAGGGAGGGTTGCACTCCTGGGCAAGGCCTCGGGCAGAACAGGCAGGACCTGGGCTTGCTTTTCCCAGCCCTAAGTTCACTCACCAGCCATGAGAAGATCTAATGTAACATCTGGTGCAATAACTGCAGCTTAATCCGCTTTGAAGTTGGCCTAACCTAATGGGAGGAGAGGGCACCTATTCCCTTGTATCTAAGCTTAATTCTCTCCCACCGATTGCCCTGCCTATAAATGCAAGGCATCTCCTTCTCCATTCAAGGCAGAGCCCTCCCCTATATAGCCCTCTGTGATGGACCGGGCCGAGTCTGGGCACAGCTGAGGGCATCCGCTCAGGGCGAATTGCTCAAATTCGGGGCTCCTTACAGCCCCCAGACTGGTGACCTTTCCAAACAGGCCACAAACCAGTCACACAGAGCACTTCAGCTGCCTGCCTGAAGCCTCACGAGAAAACCCCTCCGACACCCCAGCAATATCCGTGCCCCAGATGGCCCCAGACCTCATACAAAGGTGAGGGATCTTAAAACCCAATCTCATCTACTCCGAACAAGTTCCGGTCCCAAGAAACCAGCCACAGATCCCCGGTCAATTTACCCTCTGGACCTTACCCACAAACCACGCTGAGCCAATCCTTTAGAATCTACCATCTAAAAGTTTATTACTACAATAAAGAAAAGCATGAGAGTGAGGTTGCTAAAGTATCATACGTTACATGCACCGAATCTCCCAGTTCTCTATGCAGGTTCTAGCAGAGATGTTATAGCTGCTGGCTTAAAAGTCCGTGTTGCACATCCTAGGTTAGGATGGGTCCACAGTTCTTTCCGGCTCTTTGATCCCTGCACTGCTGCCTCTGGGATGAAGAGCTGAGCTGAGTACAAGATGGAGATGGCCACATGGCCAATTTATACCTTCTTCCTGGTTTCTTCCAGGCTGGCTAGAATCACATGGCCAGTGGCCAGGTGTGTCTTTGGCCTTCATAGGCCCATTGTTCCCTGGAGCTTTGCTCATTAGCATGTCCATGGGCAAACATTTCTAGCCCATTACTCAAGCACATTCAGAGAGACTTCCAGTCTCCATACAGAATACAGATCCCTAACTCCACACACAGAGGCTACGTCTAGACTACATCCCTACATTATTTATTAGCAATTACTAATAAAGTGGGGATTTAAATCTCCCGCACTTCATTAGCATAAAAATGGCTGCTGGTTTTTTTCGGCACGGAGCTTTGTCGGGGAAAAGCGCCAGTCTAGACACTGATCTTTCGAAAAATAAAGCCTTTTTTGAAAGATCCCTTATCCCTTATTTCATGAGGGATAGGGAGTGAGATGCCCCTCCCAGGGAATTCAGGAGGGGGAGGAGAAGCCATTGTTGGAGGAGTGTGGAGCCAGCCAGCCAGCAGGACTGGCTGTGTGGGAGCAAGTAAGTCCCAGGCCTGCATGCAGGGTTCCCCCTGAGAACTAGCCTCTAGGGACCTGAAGGCAGGATCCCTCAGCTGGGTTTTATGTCTCCACTGTTGAGTCCCAGTTTGTAGAGTTTGCTGGGAAACTTCCCCAGCCAGGCTAAGTTAGCTCTACAGCTCCCTGGGTGAGACCAGCCACCACATGGTCAGCTCTGCTGTCTGCTAGTTCAGGGCTGCTGCCTGCTGTGTGGGTCTGAATGCTGGGCTAGGAGATTACAGTCTGAATTTAGTGCAGTTGTGTAACCTGCACCTGGAGCCCTGCACCCCTGTGTGGTGAGAGGAAATTCTGGGACCGAAGCAGCCTGATTCCTGCCCGAAGAGGATCCTTGCCAGAAGAGACCAACCCCTCTGCAGTGACTGAGTCATCTCTGAACCTGAGGCTCATTCATGGAGTGTGTGAGTGCACCATCTTGTAGTTAGTCAGTCAGGGAATTTGCTTGGGGATTTTATAACCTGCTGCACATTAAACCTGTGGAGGGATTTACCATCTTCTCCCACTTGTGAGTCCTTTGGGCTGTACTGGACCCAGTCAGCCCCACTGCTAAACCACTACAGAGAAGAATTTTGTGGTCATAAGTCATCAAGTGCACCAACAAAGTATGCGTACCAAGGGGACACTAATCTTACAGTTGCTGAGCACCGGTGAACCTAAAAATAGTGTTTTACCCTGTTATGTTATCTTTGTCTCCTGTTTAATATAATTGTGTTTATTATAGTGTATGTGTTTGTGGTCTATCTAGCCCAGTATCCTGTCTGCCAACAGTGGCCAGCACCAGGTACCCCAGAGAGGGTGGACTGAAGACAATAATCAAGCGATTTGTCTCCTGCCATCTCTCTCCAGCCTCTGACAAACAGAGGCCAAGGACACCATTTTATCCCCTGGTTAATAGCCTTTTATGGACCTAACCTCCATGAAATTATCTAGCTTCTCTTTAAACTCTATTTTAGTCCTAGCCTGTTATTTTCTGGGAGTCTCCAACTATCTGGCAAGTACATGGGATTTCCCCTGGGTTAGAATTTTCCTTCCAAGTTGCCCTGGTGACCCTGCCAGGAAGAAGTGAGGGGAGTGGAGGCATCGCCAAATAAATCCATAGGAAAAATAAAATTGAGTGGGTGGCGGGATCCAGAAGAACCCAGACCTATCCATAAAACCTGTAAGCAGACTGGCATTCAAGAAGGTAACCAGGTGGAGAGGGGCGCTACACTATGATTCTAGGAGCATCTAGTGTGGCAGGGGTAGAGCTGCCTGGCCCACTCCTTGGCTGTTACAGGCTGCTGGTGGGACCAAGATGGCACTCGAGAAATTTCAGGATCTCCTGCCAGGAATGCTCCTGGGCTCTAGCATGGGGCTCTGGATTACCCCCCCAGTGCACAGGTTTGGGGCTACCTCGAGTCGGTGAGATGCTGCACAGTGGGGACCCCGGTGGCTCGATCAGGTGTCCAGCCCCGGGGTAGGACAGCAGGGTGTAGTTCTTCTTCCCATGGCTTTTCATCCTCTCAATGGCCATCTCAGCAAAGAGCTTGGTGTTAAAATTGCGATCAGCTTCTCCTACCACGAAAAGCACTTCACCTCGAGCTTTCTCCACAGGGATGGCGGCTGCTGCGTGCACTGGGTTCCGGGGGTCCTGGAAGACGTGGTAGTTGTCCAGGGCTCCCATCTCTGTGATGAGCAGACACTCGGGGCAGTAGGGGATGTAGGGGATGTGGACCCCCAAAACCTGTAAGCAGACTGGCATTCAAGAAGGTAACCAGGTGGAGAGGGGCGCTACACTATGATTCTAGGAGCATCTAGTGTGGCAGGGGTAGAGCTGCCTGGCCCACTCCTTGGCTGTTACAGGCTGCTGGTGGGACCAAGATGGCACTCGAGAAATTTCAGGATCTCCTGCCAGGAATGCTCCTGGGCTCTAGCATGGGGCTCTGGATTACCCCCCCAGTGCACAGGTTTGGGGCTACCTCGAGTCGGTGAGATGCTGCACAGTGGGGACCCCGGTGGCTCGATCAGGTGTCCAGCCCCGGGGTAGGACAGCAGGGTGTAGTTCTTCTTCCCATGGCTCTTCATCCTCTCAATGGCCATCTCAGCAAAGAGCTTGGTGTTAAAATTGCGATCAGCTTCTCCTACCACGAAAAGCACTTCACCTCGAGCTTTCTCCACAGGGATGGCGGCTGCTGCGTGCACTGGGTTCCGGGGGTCCTGGAAGACGTGGTAGTTGTCCAGGGCTCCCATCTCTGTGATGAGCAGACACTCGGGGCAGTAGGGGATGGAGGGGATGGGGACCCCCTTGTAACGCAGCGGCGTGCCGTTCATAAATCCTGTGCCATTGATCCAGACCGCGGCCACCACCTGCTCTAAGAAGCTAGCCATGGCCAGCGTGACCTCTGCCCCTTTGGACACCCCAATAACGCCAAGACCTGGGCCTCTCACCTGAAAAAACAAAGAGAAGCCACATTGGAACAATCAGGCCAACAGCTTGGGAATCTGCAGTTTGGAGCCAGCACGGGATGGGAACCTGTAGGGGGTGCTGTGACACAGATGAAGCTAGAACCTGCACTACTCAGTCATGCTTCCCCCACCCCCGCAACTTCCAAAGGTGCACTATGACCCTGGGGGAGGAATCTGTACTGCACTGCACTGCTCTATCCTCCTGACTTGAGTACTGAGACCCTGGGACAGTGGGAAGAGCCTGCACTGCCCAGTCCCATCTTTTCCAATAGGAGGCGCTGTGATATCAGGGAAGGGAGGATCCCAGGGATGACAGATGATGGTAGGGCCTGCTACATGTCAGATATCTACACTGGAGCCTGGCTCCCCTGCTCAAGTGGCTCTGAAGGGACCCTAGTGAAAGAGTAGGGCATAGGCCATACCTTGGGGTGTTTCAAAAGCAGGTTGGCTGCTTCCTCAAAATACTCCAGGTCCACCTCCACCAGCACCCGAGGCAGGTCGTCGTAGCCAAAGAAGGCCAGTGCCAGCACTGCGAAACCCCGGCTGGCGAGCAGGCTGGCTCGGAATTCAATGAGCCCTCCAGCCCCACCAAACATGTCGATCACCCCTGGAAAGGGGCCCGGCCCTGCAGAGAACGGGGCGAGAGAAATTGTAGGAAAAGGGCAAAGCATAGCACGGATAGTTCTGGCAGCCCCACAGCTAAAGGCCTAGCTTGTTTTCCAAGGCAAACTCGGTAGGGCTCATGTGCAGTAGGTATTTGCAGAGAGGTAGATAGCTGAAGGAGGTGCTGCAGGGACGGGAATCTATTTCACTTGTGAAAACATCTTCCACTGAACTGGGCATTAACAGAAACTCTAAAAACCTAAATACCTTTGTTGATCCGGGCCACTGCCTCAAGAAAGAGGCTGGTTCATCCACTGAAGCCAGTGCCACAGGACTATTGCTAATTCTCACCATTTTATCCTGAGATCTAATTGTCAGGAATTTTCTGTCATGCTCCCAAGGATCCCAACTTTCTTTTCTGAAGTTTCTAGCCCCCAGTGTTGAAATGTTAAATGTGACCCATACACGTTTAAAAAGCAGATGGCTAAGTATAAAGTGCATTCATTCTGTTTTTAATCTCAGTTTTTAAGCCAATCTTGTGATTTCTGAATGGCTGGTGTTGGCAATATTGTTTCTGAGGGGCTGAGTGATTAGCTTGCAAGTTTTGACTCTGAAAATTGTCTAAAGAGAACTAAGTTAGTGATGAGCCTTAATGCAGTTATATGTAAGGAGGTGCAATTGTAATGTCAACAGATAACACTAATGTTTACTTTTAAGCATATTCTCTGTTTATATTGGTTTACATTTTTACAATTGTGCAAAATGTTTGGACTTTAAGCATTTGTAAATGTTATCAGCATTTTCGCTGTTATGGGAAATTATGGGGGAGGGTCAGATAATGATGATTTAAGCAGAGCAGATGCTGACATTCAAAAAGTTAAAACTTTAAAAACAATTAACATGACATACTCCCCCTAAGTGGACCTTCAATCAAACTCTAAAGTTCTCTGTCGTATTATTCTTACTTTGCTTATCAGCAAATGTGATTATTATCGGAAATATTTTCTATCCATTTGTACATATCTGGGGAAATCAGTTCTCTGAAAACTTCCACGCAGTGTGCAGCGGCGATCAAAAAGGCAAATAGGATGCTAGGAATTATTAGGAAAGGGATAGAAAATAAGACCCAGAATACCTTACTGCCCCTGTATAAAACTATGGTACGCCCACATCTTGAATACTGTGTTCAGATGTGGTCTCCTCACCTCAAAAAAGATATTTTGGCCTTGGAAAGGGTTCAGAAAAGGGCAACTAAAATGATTAGGGGTTTGGAACGGGTCCCATATGAGGAGAGGTTAAAGCGACTGGGACTTTTCAGTTTAGAAAAGAGGAGATTGAGGGGGGATATGATAGAGGTCTATAAAATCATGAGTGGTGTGGAGAGGGCCGATAAAGAAAAGTTATTTATTAGTTCCCTAAATAGAAGAACTAGAGGACACCAAATGAAATTAATGGGTAGCAGGTTTAAAACTAATAAAAGAAAGTTCTTCTTCACACAGCATGTAGTCAACCTGTGGAACTCCTTGCCAGAGGAGGCTGTGAAGGCTAGGACTATAATAGAGTTTAAAGAGAAGCTAGATAATTTCATGGAGGTTAGGGCCATAAAAGGCTATTAGCCAG